TTCCCGTTTATGGTGTGAGTATAAGTGAGTGTGCGCTGTATTTGAAAGGTATGCTGCTTCTAATGATTTTTACCGCATTCAGAAATGTAGATTTTTTAGAAAGTTATAGCACGTCAAAGTGAAAATTCGCAAAAGGGCCATTATTTTTGCATCAACCTAATACTTACTTACTTAGATACTTAGATGGCCCGTCCTCACGTGACATGCGGGCCCCAATACAGAAGTTGCCATTTTTCCCTGTCTCTCGCTTCAGATATCCACGATCTTCTTGGCCGTCGTCGGTGGCTGCGTCCACGAGTTCCAGGGGAGTCTTATCCAGCTGATTTCTCAGCTGGTCCATCCGTTCCACGAACACGTCTGCCCATCTCGTTGGTGGTCTTCCTCGGGGACGTTTGGCTTCGCGAGGAATCCACTCAGATGTTCTTAGTGTCCATCTGTCGTCTGTTCTTCTCATTACGTGACCGGCCCATCGGTGTTTGGCTTTCGCAACGTATTCCGCTGGGTCACGAAGACGGGACATTCTTCTCATATCCGTGCTGCGAAGTCCGACTAGATGTTGCTTGCGTCCGGTCATCTTCAAAAGACTGCGCTCGAGCGCTCTGTGGGTGGTCCGTAAAGCTTTCAACGTGGCTACAGTATCGGCCCAAGTCTCAGCTGCGTAACAGAGCGCCGGGAGAACGGTTGAGTCAAACAGGTGGGCACGAAGCTCCGGGTCCTTCAGTTGGTCGGTGGCTTCCTTCAGAGGCCCGAAGGCGGCCCAGGCTGCTCTTCTTCTCCTGTTAAGTTCTTCCCTCAAATCGTTCTCCATGTTCATCGAACGTCCCAGATACACGTAAGAAGACGTCTCCATAATAGGGGTGCCTTCCAATTCCATTTCTGCTTTTTCGCAAAGGGCGTTCCTCATGAACTGAGTCTTCTTCCGATTTATTCGCAGTCCGATCTTCTTCCTTACTTCGTTCAGTTCCTTCAGCATCGTCTCTGCTTCGGTGATACTGCTCGAGAAGAGAACGATGTCGTCCGCAAAACGAAGGTTGGACAGGAATCTCCCATCAACTCGTATGCCTCTCTCGTCCCAGTCCAGTGACTTCATCACCCACTGCAAGGCCGCGGTGAACAGCTTCGGCGAGATTGTGTCGCCTTGTCGGACCCCCTTCCCGATTGGTATGGTCAGGGGGCGATGGAACAGCTGTATCGTTGTCGTACAGTCCTTGTAGCAGTTGGCTAGTGTCCTCACGTAGGCTGGGTCCACTCCTTGATCGACTAGCGCTGACAGGATGGCGTTGGTTTCGACGCTGTCGAAGGCTTTTTCGTAGTCGCGAAGGTTAGGACGAGAGACAGTCGGTACTCCCGGCAGACTTCTATGACCCTCGAAACGGTCTGGATGTGGTCCTTCAGCTGAATCCTTTGCGAAACCCAGCTTGTTCTTGGGGTTGGGCTTCATCCAGTGTCCTTGATATGCGAGCGAGGATAATCTTCGTGAAAAGTTTGTACAGTACACTCAGCAGGCATATTGGACGATAGTTCCGAAGATCCTCCCGTTCACCCTTCTTGAAGAGAAGGACGGTTCTTGACGTTCTCCACTGGCCGGGAATCTTCTCCTTCTGAAGGTAAGATGTCAAATGCGACGCTAGAATCTCGTGTAGACGGTGTCCTCCGGCTCGCAGAAGTTCGACGGAAAGATGATCTGGTCCTGGAGCCGTGGACGTCTTCATGGTCTGTATCGCGATACGCACTTCAGCAGATAGAATTCGTGGTGGTACTTCTCCAGTGGGAACAACGGGCATCTGCACGGGTGTTGACGAGCGGAAGAGGTTGGTGTAAAAGTTCTTCGCGATAGATTCCATCTTGTATCGGGAAGAAGTCGGAGTCCCGTCTTCGTTCAGTAGTGCAGCCGGCGGTATGTGATATTCGCAGAGGTCCCTTCGGCGCTTCTTAAGACTTCGTCTTCTTTTGGCTGCTTCCAGTATCTTGGCTTGCCTGTACTTCCTGAGATCCTCTTGCAAAGCTGTTCTGCAACTGGCGTTGGCTATCAGTCGCTCGAGATGGGTTGCATTCGGATCCTGCCTCAGAAATCTTCTTCTTTCGAGCATTTCCTTGGTGGTCTTCGAAATGCGTTCCAAGTTCTTCTCAGAAGTTACTGAGGCGCATTCCCCACAGGCTCGCAAACCTTTCAGAAGCGGTCGTAGTCGTACGTTGGGTCCTCCTCGATGGGCCAGTCACAACTTGATATGAGCTCTTCCAGCCTGTTACCGTCATAAACGACTTCCTTCCTTCTCGTGGCACTATGACAGACTTTCTTTTCCAGCCTTCGGCTGAGTCGTATCTTCGCTCGAAGGAGGCGGTGATCGGAGCGATTACAGAAGGATGGAACTACAGAGACATCGAGTAAGCTCCACCTTCGGTTGGTGAGAATGTGGTCGATTTCAGCTTAAGTCGTTCCGTTGGGCGATTCCCAAGTCCACCGGCGATGTTCTTTCTTCATGAAGGTGGAGTTTCCATGGAAGAGTCGTGCGGCAGAGACAAGCCCAACGAGACGGTTGCCGTTTTCGTTTCGGAGCCCATATCCAAACTTCCCGATCCTATATTCCTTTTCTAGTGGCATCCCGATTTCGCAATGAAGTCGCCCAAAACGTACTTGTAGAAGGACTTTTCGTTGCGGACGACCTCCTCCACGTCTTCGTAGAAAGCATCTAGTTCTGAGTCGTCGCTGCTGATGTTGGCAAGTAGCAGTTGATGATGCTGATGGTCTTCTGACGTGGAGGGCGTAGTCGTAGGATGCCCAGTCGAGGTGATAGGATCTCGTGCGAATCGACAAGATGGACGATAGATGGGTGGACGAAAAGCCGACGCCTCCCACGTTTCGTGATAGAATCTTTTCACCACGAATGATGAGGGTCCTATCACTCATCTGTCGCACGTCCTTCTTCCTGGACTTCGTTTCCTGCAGAGCGATGATGTGGTAGTTGATGTGCTCTGCAGCCTCGAGAAGAGCGTGGAGGTCGGCGTTTGTGGAGACTGTTCTAGCGTTGTAGGTGCAGAGCATGAGGCAGTCTCCATGGCGTGTCGTTTTTGTCCAATCCGAAAGGCGCCCTGAGTACCCTGACATCGTTCTTGCTACCACCCGGCGCCGTAGGTGGGATACGATGTGCAGGGTTTCTTTCTAATCTTCTAACTGGATGAGTGATATGAATTTTCCCCTACAAGAGGTGGCTTACTAGGCCTACTCTTGATTTCCACGGGGCGATCGCTGACCCCGGGCTTGGAGCGGGGAGAGACCGCTTAGCGACCAGAAGAAGCCAGACGGCGGGGGATCTGGCGTGGCCGGTTCTTAGCTAGGCATCCGGCCGAAACCGGAAACGTCGAACTCCTTCACAGCTTGGGAGGCCCTACCAGAGTATACACTCGGCTCTGCATCGCAGTTCGACACCCAGTGTCACCCCCACGCCACGATGAGGCGACCGACCATTGTGGGGGATCAACCTAATATATGCATATCATTTTTATCCCCCACTGCGATCTGGTTTCACCTTCCCTTGTGGGGTGTATGCCATTATCATTTTGGCGTTGCATAAGCGAAATTGAATGCGGCGCCTGCGATGGATTCGAGTTTAAGGATGCGTTGACACTGATTTGCAAGTTTCCGTACAGGTTTAGCACAGCACTCGAGCAGCCGCCTGCATGCGGTTTGAACGCTTTCAATCGGTGTTTGTTGTATTTTGCCCGTTTCCTTTCTTGAAAAATTTTGGAACGAGATAGGGGAGTGAACGCTGTTTAGTGCAGTGTGTTGCGTACGGCCTCCGTCAAAAATCGCGCGGTACCATCAAATCGCTTTCGTCGGCTGCTTGCCAAATGTTTAATAACAAACCGCGCGCAAATCTCAGTGCACAAATCTCAGTCTCTCGCACATGCGTCTAACTTTTTGAACTATATTGCGTACATTTCAAATCTTACTAGCTGAGACTGAGCTTTCGAGAAATCATGAGCCATTGTAGCGGTGCTAAATCGTGCAATTTATCAAAATCGCCCAAGGCATGACCGATTCCTAAGAGCTGCATTTGAGCTTGTTCTCCCCGATATATAATCTTTGTCTAATAATCTTCTGTAATTCAGAAAGCCACTTTCTGATCGATATAGTCACCCTATCTCAAAATTAGACTGATGCAGTCATCACGATAGCTGCGATCTGGATTTTTCTTTGTGCTTCGATTTTTGTTTAAGGTCTCTTCAAGGTCAAGGGGTAAGCCCAGCCCTATTTCTTTTCAAAATTCAACCTGAATTGTTTCTGGTCTAATGTTAGATTTTGGTGAATAATGAATTTGGAGCAATGTAGAAGGGTGAAAGCAGTTTAGGTTCGAGATCATTTTCACGTTCGCACAAATTGGGATTGCGTCATCCTCGTTCCCCCTTTGATTTGAATCATTTTTTTTCACAAGAAAGCGAGGTATAAGAATGAGACGAAAAGTAAGAATGAAAATGAAAGCCATCAAGAGCGGTTAAAGACCGCCATTACCCGCCATTCCATACAGCCCGCGCGAGGGTGCAGCGTCTGCAGCACAGCTCGGGCAAAGTTCTACGCATTTCGAGCGTGTTAAAATAGTGGCTGAATGCCCGGATTAGCATTCTAGCGTTCTCCATGAAGATCGATTGTTCTTCATCAGTACCTAACTATCAAACGTCTCTTATTTCTTTGCCACACGCAATGCTGTAGCGCGAACACATTAAGGTTGAGTATGGGGTATACAGCCTTACTCAGCACCGCATATAGTTCTTAACTCAGTTTGACTCCTTGCATGTAACGAATACTACCTATAAACTCCCCAATCACCCTATCAAATTGCGACTTCAGAAATTATGCATGCTTCGCTGACGCCGAATTTCACCTTAGATGTTTGTGAGCGCACCAGCTACTAAATTTGCGAGCTAATTTCCTATGTAAACATGAAAACTTATTCTTTTCGAAAATGTAAATGCATCAGATTCAGGCATATAATCCTTTTCAGGAGATGATCTTCGCCAAAAAATCAAAGCGGCCAACGAGTCAGCGGTCAGTAGCTTCAGCAACATCAAAGTACCAAAAGTCTATAGTCTTCTTCATTCCAGGAAACCTTTCGAATTGTTTTACGTATCACAGTTGGATTGCTAATATTCACCTTGGTATTCACACTTCTCATGTTTCTCCATTACAAGCGTACAATTTCGCTATGGCCAAGCCTTCATCCTTACCACGTGATATTGCCTAAGAAAACAACAACAGTACCCACTACGCCGGAATTTGAAGCAGATTGACAGTTAGTGCTCATGCTTGAGGCTCAATCATTGTAAACCATGTTTGACATCGTTCAATAAAATTGCTTTATGTGCTTACAACATTGAAAGTAGCAAGAGATTATTCTTCGGATACGGTCATCCTGTTTCTATGATGATAACCTGTTACCATTGTGCCAACCGCAGACAGTGCAACCATTGCTCTCTGCACATGTCGCGCTTTCTGGATGCGATCTGAAAGAACATGTGTTTGCTAGTTTTTGCGACATTTTTTCTTTGTGATGCTAGTTAAGCATTTATTACAATAATGCCTTTACAGAAATATAGCTATAGTGTATGCGGCCAGCATTCCACAGGTACTTCCGCGACGCACCCGCAACGCGCTCGACTTGACGCTTCTCGTTCCGCATATGAGCAGCAAAGCACTTTCACGCACAGATGGGTGTGAAGTGTGAAGTGGAAACCTAAGTACAATTCAAAAGAAGCCTATGCAGAAGTACAACGTGTAGATACAATCATTAGGGCTAACATCGCAGTATGCACGTTTGAAACCCAGTTATACGTCAGTGATAAGAAGTAATAGCAGCAGAATGAGAATGAGCATCATTTTTGAAACGCTTCTCTTCTGTGAAAGTAGGAAATTGAAAGGATAAGCCTGAAAGCGAGCACATTTGTATAAACAAACTTCTATTGGCTTCGTAAAGGGCTCTACGTTGACTTAGAAGTGTCTATACTCCGTAGAGTCGATTCAAGAACGCGTAATCTGTACGAAAAAGTCTGAGGTGATATTCCTTTAGCAATCACTCAGATCTTAACTATTCGAAAAAGATGAGAAACATTCGAGACAAACACTCGATTATTGAAACACGTAAAAACATATGGCCGGTTCTTCAGAACGCCGCTCACACTAGAGATATGAGGCATCGAAATCAAACAAAAGCAGAAATAAGTTTTATTTCAAAGGCTAAAACGAGATGTGCGATGAGATTGTCAGTCCGGACATGTGCTGCAGGTACCTATGGGAAGCGGCCAAGAACGAAAGAATCATTTTTTTTTGAGTACCGCACAAAGCTCGTCAAGAGGATGCTTGTGCGTTTTTTCTATCAAGTTTGATATTCTATGTCGTGAATTATGTTACATTTTATGAATATCTGGCCAGAGTGTCCAAGGGCTCTAAGATCATACATTCAATGCTGTGCAACGTCTGAAAACAGTGGCATTTATGAAGCGCACTACTGTCTACGTGTACATTTTGAGGCGAGGAACTTGTTTTTCCGAATAATTGGTACCAATACTTACCATAGCTAATTTCTGCAACTAGTATCCCGCATGAAAAGACCATTAGAATGCCATAGATGTAAAATACACTGCTCAGTTGAGTGAAGTTGAATGCCGAGCTTTTTGGATATTCTATCAAGCTCGCTCTTGGGTACGTAGGCGTATATCGTGCTCGAATATGCTGGAAAAGTTTGATATCAAGAGCCTTTGGTTAACTACTCGTTACGAAAAGGTTTTCGCGGTCTTTGCTGTAGAAGTAACTTAAGTTACTGATAAATGGAATGCAAATGATCTGACTTATTTCATTTTGCATGGTGAATAAAAACTTTTTGTATCCTTCCTACAAGGAACTTACAATAAAAGTCGTTTGCAATTTTATGATTTCAAGATTGAGTTCCTCCAAGTAGGGGAAATTCTTGCTCACTATCAGCGAAGCAGGAGAGACCTAAACCAATTGCAATTGAAATGTATGCTTTTTTCTCAATATTTATACATAATTCGTAACGGTCACTTGCTTACACTGAAATCTGTGATTAGCCATACTTCAGAGTGAAACATATGTTTGGTCCAAATAGCAATCTTATTCCCTCCGAGTCGTTCTGTTTCGTACCATTCCACACCAACAAGAGGCACAGAAAACTGGAAAATGGTGGTTTTTTTGCATAGATGAGAGTCTTATTTGAGTATAATTTGTTACCTTGTTTACGAACGTATCGTTTGTTAGTTGTGAAGTAGATGCAATCACAGGAGGATTTTTGGCAAATATCCTGTCAAAAAGCTGTGTGCATGATGCCTGCGTATAATTGTCTGGACACTCGGGTCTCCATTGCGGCGATGGACCAATAAAACGATATGAACCTTCTCTAAAAGTTAAAATAAAGAATACTGCAGGATGGTACTCAAAACTCACTCAAGACTTTCTACTAATCCATCAAAATCATCGAAAGGCAACTTTTTTGTAATTGAAAATATGAGCATTCCTCGCAGCTCCGAGGTGTAATAGGCGACAAATACATGAGTCCATACTAACATCCACAAAGTCATGATACCCTAGTTTTGGAATTTGTTTAAGCAAATCGAAAGACTCGGAAGCAAGAGAAATACCCAATACGATATATAAGTCGGCGATGGTTTAGGCTCTATTGTAAAATTCGTTGAATATGAGATCAGGTGCCAGACGGCACTGGACGATGATCTGTGAAAAGAGAATTAGTTTGGTTTAAGTAAAGATAAAGAAGATATACTTTGTAAACGCTTCATTTTTGTCCCAGAATTCAATATATCGCAATAGCATGAGAACAAGCGTAACGATCACGATGGTGAGGGCAAGAAAAATCCACAGATATCCTTCAAATGGCATGAGCATAAAACCCATGTCTTGCTTTTTTACAGGCTCGCGAATGAGGTACACCTGAAAAGAAAATATAAAAGAGGCGTTGTTGTTGGTGTTTGTTAGGTGTCACCATTCCCTCCTATTCCTCTACAACATCTCTCAATCCCTGTATTCCATCTTTATGCGGTTTGGTTCGATGCACAATCATACCCTTCCCCACCCCTCTCTCTCAACTTTGAAAGAAAAACTGAATTGAAAAGAAATGCAGTAGATAACTCCATAAACGGTTGTCACATTCATCAACCTATTTTCTTATCCAGCTGGCTGTAACCCCCGACGTGTGACCTAGAGTTTCACAAAAAAGATATAGGCAAATGGTAATCTCAAGAATGAATGCTGTGAACTTAAGGCTGCGTTCATACTGATCCGGAAGTTCGGGAACAGTACCAGTACAGCGCTCGAACTAAGGGCTGTGCTGGAACTGTACTCGTACTTCAGGCTCAGTATGAAGGTGACCTAATCAGCATGCTCATTCACTTCCCTCTAGAAACTTCCATCACTCAAGCGCCACAGTTGTAAGTTTGCAAAAAATCGATAAACCGACAAAGACGATTATGTTATAGCCTGCCCCAATCGGGATCAGGCCGAACTGTCGGCGTAGATTTGCGCGCTCGCAGCGCTAGGCGTTTGCGCTGCAAATGCTCGCTGTCGGAGAGAGAGGAGATCGAAGAAGGAGCAGACAAGCAGGCTCCGAGCGTGACCGCGAAATTCTAGCGACGCCGACTCCCGCCATGCCAATTTTGGCCTGAATGGGATTGGGGCAGACTGTAAAGGTGGAAATTCTATACGTAATCACACCCTCATTTATTCCCTTGAGCTTCGTAGCTCAAAGCTTGCAGAAAAATTAATACATCGATTAGAATCGATAAAGAATGGTAGCCATGGCACTGCCCGCCTCCAGAATGAGATGCATAGGGCTGCATAACGAAGGCGCAATATCGTTGGACGAGAACGCGCTTTATTGGCCGCAGAGCGCATGAGGCGCAGGATTTACAATGGGATACGCGCGCGAAGCATTCGCACCCACTCACCTAATACTGCTTCTGCGCCTTCGCCATGCGGTAGCCTTTACGTGTTCAAAATTTGGAACGGAGCGGTTCGAAATCTATAGACAATTTACCGCAGGCAGAGGCTAAACACCGTTGCTTTCCATTAAAAAAATGGGTGTTAAAAACGGCAGAAGGTTGGAGAATAAAAGTGCGTTAGGTGATGCTGACAGATCAGCGGTGGCGTCCCGGCTCTGTGTGCTAAGAAGCGCTTACTGTACAGACACAAGAAAAGAGTTTGAGCGAAAGATGTATCTCACCTGTTTGACGGAAACGTTTATCGGATAGGCGAACTTCAAGTATTTTAGCCGCTCTGTTGTCATTCGAAACCTCCCACATACCATATCAATTCGACCTTCATATACGTCTCCTAGCATACCTGAAGTAGTCCATAACGAGTTTCAGAATTAGTCCGTCTTCCATTATAGTCAAAGTAATGTTGCTGCACAGCAGGGATTGCAACATTTCCCAGTATAATTTTAGAATAAAATCATGTTTTTAGTCCACACTCCTTGTGTAAGCTCTCATGTACAAGATTAGAATACAAACTTTTTTCACTGATTCAATTTTCCGTGTCACGAGTGGCTTTATTTGCTCATTCAATCCTCATTCTCGAATTTCATTCAGCTATCGCTTTTCTTGTCAGCAGAGCTTCACAATCTTGTATCGTGCTCTTTCAGAGGTCATGATTTGCTGTGATGCTATAATTTCTCAGAAACTTAGTCATGTTTCTTTGAAACGTGTACTGTTTATTTGGACACAACCAAGCCGAATCGTTAATTTCAAACTGCTTAGAATCGACCACATAAGAATTATTTTACGATGCCATTAGCTTGAACAGTGCTTACTTAAGACCGAGGGTTCAGGCAAAATGGCTAGTGTGTGTCTCCTATAGATAACTTGTCTTCAAAACCGCGTAGAAAGAAGAGAGCAGCGCAAGGAAATAGAAGACCATTAAGAAGGTAATCAGGAAGACCGAAAACATTCTGTTACATGCCGACCTCTTCAATGTAATAGTCTCCTTTGACGTACTTAAAGACTACTTTAAAGTTATGATGTCTGCCATAACGCCTTAGGCCCCGGACAGACTTCACGCGATTTAATCGTCACGACTAAATCGCCGACTTTTCCATTCATTTTCATTTCACATTCAAAAATTTCGGGCTGGAAAAGTACCACAACCGAAATGCAAGTTGATCTGCATGGAATGATGTTGTAACAGTTGTCTCGTCGCGATTCAGTCGCGACGATCACATCGCGTGAAGTCTCGCATGGAGGAAAGCTTTCATACAGAACTCAAATGCAATCGCGAATGATAGCAAATGTTAGCTGTAGAATAGCTTTGCAGGTGATACTGGAACTCAGACAAACTAAGATTTTACGAAAGGAAGAAGGTAGCAGCTGAAAGAACACGATTTCTATAGAGAGCTAAGAGACCAGATACATTCCAGGCAGCATTGATCAACGGAAAGAAGTCCTCCACCCTTCTCGTCAAAAGATGGCTTTTGCGATGAACTTCTGTAGCAGCCTCCTCCTCCTTTCATTTACGCTCATGGCGACCCTGTTTGCTTTATTGGAGATGTGGCACGAAGGACGCCCCCACTTCATCTGTCGGGACTATAGAAACACGCACAATTCCAGGTCCACAGCTTCTTTCGTTTGGACTTGTGAGTTCGTTTGTACGAGATTCTCACGTCGCATCTAGCATCCCATTATGAAAGCAATGGAAATCCAGAAATGGGAAGACAAGAATTGTCCTTCCCAGAAGGATAAATGGGGCCCTCTGCAAGTATGCCTGCGAGGGAACTGTACATGCCTTTGGCAAAAAAACATTATTGTAGCAAATCGAGGATACCGGATTATAGTATCCTCGATATGCTCAAAAACAAACTGGCCTTGAGGGTCTAGAGTTGTGCCCGGAACACTTTCATCGTCCTAACTTCCACTCTGTGAGAGAATGTTTGATAGCGCTGTAATTAATTTAGTGCTAGTCGATAGGAAAAGCATCCAGCGTTTATGATAAGACCTGAGCGACTGCTACAACGACTCGACGCAGCAATTTCATCGTCCTTCAGCAAGTTGAAAATGGGTTCAAAAAACACATAGGCCCGTAGTAAACCCCACTTCACTTAAGATGATCTCAACTGAGGGACTGAGTTAAGGTATTCAAGATAAACTGACTAGCGGTCACTCTCACATGCTTAAGAATGCGACCTGATCTGAAGGGTTAGCGTTAGGGCATGTGCCGCGATGAATTCCTTTAAAATCCGTAAGAGCAGCCTCGATTTTGAGATGAATTGACCGAAACAGTGCGCAAGGGATGAGACGCAGAGACAAATCCCGTAAGCTGCTCGTGAGTAACTTACGGGACATCGTACTTGACGTATTGTTGCAGTACAAGAACGCGCAAAACTGCACAATACCGGTGCCCAAAAGGGAAAAGATCAATGAACTGATTTCGGCAAAAAACAGAAGAATAGGTTTTTTCCTTTTTGCAGAGTTTGCTTAGTTTTTTCTACAAAAGCTACTCAGAGCGACAATCTCTTTATTTATTTCCATTCAATTTTGTCCCTACTTCCTCAATTTTTGATGAAATTTTGGATGAAAGAACGCAGTTTTGTTTTGTGCATTCATTTGTTTTATGGATTCCTTGATAGCGGCCGTCATCGATTTTCTTCGATAGTGGCCGCTATCAAAGATTGCTCAGTGATGCGCAAAAATTCGCCACTGTCCGGCGCCGAACCACTGTCATGCGGGCTGAGTACTAGTCACATACCTGTTTGACCAAACCTGCACAAGAGGTGTAGATGTTTCCTCTTTGCTAGCACGCAAGAATTTTGCCTGAACGATCCGCATCTAATTATATAATAGATCAATAGCTCGCGGGATGCTAGACCGAGGCGCCATACCATCAACTCAGGTCCGTCTCAGGGCAGATCCCCTGAAGGGGGGTTTACTACGGGCCATAGTTGCACGGATGTTAAAGTCACTGGCGGCAAGGAGAGAGGATACAGACAGTCTCAGTCTTTTTCTTTGCCGTACAGGTTTGTTATGGTAGTACCTTTATTGCCTTACGTTTCGGCTACACGCCGTCTTCAGAGGCCTGAAAAGAGTCAGTCACATTGATGTTCGCTCTTGGCCGCCAAACACCTCCCCTCACTCGCGTATTCGATTCGTCCAGTGTAGAGAAAGCAGGTCTGGCGGTTGACTCGTACTCACCAGTGTACTACCGATACTGCAGTGTGCAACCGACTTGGGCGAGCTCGTTCGACTGTGGTGACAAACAAATGAGCAGTGTGCATGGCACCAAACTGCTTATATATACTCGGACAATCTACAGCTCGCAAAACGGAAGATACGGCATGAGATCAGCGGTTATAGATAACTGTTCGTTCTTGCTGTTCATTTTTGGATCGCGTGCAACAATGAACGATGCTTCCAGAGCCTTTCGCGCAGAAATTTGGTTTTCAAAGGCTAATATCGTGCACCTTATATTGAAATCAACACCGCCGTGCTCTATTTTCCTATGCTTCCCTAGTGGGCTGATCATGCTTTGTTTCCTTTTACTGGCCAGGTGTTCATTTATACGTACGCTCAATGGTCGGCCGGTCTCTCCAATGTATTAGGTTGTCCGGAAATTAATGCAGGTTTTGATTTCCAACCGCAATAAGTCATACACTCATTTTTGAATAGGTTGCAAGGTACTATTCGATAGAGCAAAGCAAGCTCTACAAGATGGCTAGTTTGCTTTAGCAACAGCTCTAATCCACCACGAGTTTCGAGCCAAAAAATAAAAAGATTCAACTGCGTTTGTACTTCTATAGGTTTGTAGTATACAACTACCTATGTGGAAAAATTGAGAAAAATCGTAACTCACTTCGTAAAAATCCTACAAAAATTCCAACTTGCTCACGTAAACACAATCCACATAAGGCATCTAAATACGCCGTTGCCGTATTTTTTTCTCTGTTAGAAATCAAGAAAACGGAAATTTTCGTCCATCTGCTAAAGTGGTGCTGCGCCGTTCGCACATATGTAGTTGTATACTACAAACCTATAGAAGTACAAACGTAAATTTTCAGCTCTCTACAAGCTTTAGTTCTCGAGAAATATCGAATACAGTTTTCCCTAGTCATGTGGTCCAAGCTAAAATTCAAATTTCTCGCGAACTAAAGCTTGTAGAGAGCTGAAAATTTACGTTTGTACTTCTATAGGTTTGTAGTATACAACTACCTATGTGCGAACGGCACAGCATCACTTTGGCAGAAGCATGAAAATTTCCGTTTTCTTGATTTCTAACAGAGAAAAAAATACGGCAACGACGTATATGGATGTCTTATGTGGATAGTGTTTACGTCTGCAAGTTAGAATTTTTCTAGGTCTCTTATGAACTGAGTTACGAATTTTCTCAATTTTTTGGGCAGTTGAATCTTTTTATTTTTTGGCTCGAAACTCGTGGTGGATTAGAGCTGTTGCTAAAGCAAAATAGCCATCTTGTAGAGCTTGCTTTGCTCTATCGAACAGTACCTTGCAACCTATTCAAAAATGAGAAATGTATGACTTATTGCTGTTGGAAATCAAAACCTGCATTAATTTCCGGACAACCTAATAACTGGCGGAGCACTCTAAACATTGGATCTCGTAGACGACACCACACTTTGTACAATCTCCAATATTTCCGTAAGGGCAGATCACGCAATCCTGTGAGTTACAAGATTTGTCATATAGTCTATTGCGGACCAATTGTGTTTTGATATTGTCTCGAGGGATATTCACTAAAATAACGTCATTCTCGAGACCTGCTCGTATTAGGCACCGCTTGATCGCCACAGAGACCTTTTCGGAGATGAAGGGTAGGCATAGGGGTACTTTATTGGTGACCCGATCTTTTAACTTTGTTGCCTTTCCTCGTCTGGGTCGCGTTACATAACCATTCAATACCATTATATCGGCCGCCTTTTGTAGAGACTCTTGCTTCTCGCGTTCACCACTACTGCTGTTAGCTGCCGTTTTCAGCATGTTGCGAATTATAGCACGTTTGACGGCTATGGGATGAGCGGATTGAGCATGTAAAATTATATTCTTATTACTTTCTTTGCGATACCATTTGGTGCACACCGAGCCATTTACAAAAGTCAACTGCGTAGTCAAGAAAGCCAACCAACCGTTTCGAGGCTCCTCTCTTGTTAGCCTTATGTACTCCGACTGCTGATTGAGTATCTGAAAGCATTCGTCCATTTCGGACTGTGTCGTTGTCACAATGCAGCAATCGTCTATATAACGACAGTAAATAAGTGGGTTTCTGAGTAGCACCGGGTGTTCTATTTTGCTCATGAAGCAAATTGCTAAAACGGGTGCTAATCGTTGGCCCATCGCTAA